ATTACAAACGCTTCACCCCAAAGTGTTCATACATATTGGTGGAATTAACAGACATCCTCAAGTTGAAGGACGAAGGCATAAATTTGAATGAAAAAGCTGTAGAACCTTTCAACACTGCTAAACAATCATCTCTATTTTTAAGGCAATTCACCTCAAGCAAGGCGGGAGTGCCACTAGCACGCAATGGGTTACAGAGGATTGAGAACAAGAGCAAAGGGACGCGTTTGAGGAAAGGACACAGAGGAGGATGGGGAACAAGCTCAGGGTCACAGATGTCGACTGACATTACACTTGAATATTTGAAGATTATAGTCATCGGGAGAGCAAGTAAAGGGAAGGGAGCCCCACAGACGGGAAGTGCGAGAGAAGAAGCTATTTGGAGGTCCTTTTCGACATCAGCAGCCAGGTTAGTTTTGTCAACGATACTAGATTTACTATTGAGGCAGGAGTAAATAGTGGTGTCGTCCGCGTAGATGCCAACTTGGTAGCTGATGACATCGGGAAGGTCATCGATGAAGAACAGAAACAGTGTAGGGCCCAAGATAGAGCCTTGGAGGACACCAGCGTTCATGATAAAGAAGCCGGGGGAGAATCCATTTAGGATGACCTTCATTTCACGGTTTGACAGGAATGATTGGATTAAGTCAAATAATCAACCTGTAATACCGTATCCCTGAAGCTTACGAAGAAGGCCAGCATGCCAAACCCTATCAAATGCTTTAGAGATATCTAGAACCACGGCTCGAGCTTCTCCATTATTATTGAGTGCTTGGTATACAAATTCAACCCGGTACCCTCAGTATGAAGAAATATTACCACAGTCTGCACATATCACAGAGGATTCACCACTGCACTAATACAGAGGCCAGAGAAAAGGAAAAGATCCGGGAACCCTTTCCTGAATAGGAAACAAAGAATGAGTCTCTATACCTGTTCAAGAGAATGGGGAGGAATGTTGACCGGGCGATAGGTAGACCTATCCACTCCTATTACACACACACACATACACAAACACACACACACACAAAGTGGATACATAAAGTTTTAACTTAGTTAAAGTGCTAACATACACTTTGGCGGAAAGGAAGGACTAAGCCACGACATGGCCGATGTACGAGCTTCCCGATGCTATTAAGGTTACTTCGAGGAATTCATATTCAAAGAACACCAAATAGGTATTGAAATGAATGAGGGGCTAAGATTCGCATCGGCATCAAAGAACATTATTCTAAACTCAGAGAATTAGTAACAGTAAACGAAAATAAAGAAATAAATTAAATATGTACATAAATAAAAGAAATATTAAAAGACAAATCACAAACTCTTCCCTTTCGATATATTATATATCGATCCAGAAAAGGGAATATTTATAGGAAATGATGCAATTTCCTGTCAAAGAAGGTTCGAGAAAAATCGGATCAACGCAATTCTTAATATATAAAAAACGCCTACGCACGTTTTCTTTAAAAAAAATAAAATAAAACACTCGACCACATTTTTTGACCAAACGGATATACAAAAAATACACGGTAACTTCGTAAGAAATTTGTGGAGCTAACACGCCTGTACGTGAGCCCATCAGAACAATATAAAAACGAGAATATTTTCAAACTACCTTAGAACATTTCACTTGCTTGGCAAGATGAATACAACTGTGTCTCACAGCAGCCCACTCCTTTGACCGCAGAACGAACAGTATGAAACTATGACTCTCAACTTGGCGATAATACTTTTAACGCCATGAGGCTACCGATACTTCACTACAACTCGCAGAGACTTCAAAAAAAAAAAAAAAAAACGCGAACGATTCAATTTTTGTTTTCAGATTTTTCCACAAGTTCTTGCGTTGTAAAAAGAAAAGGAAATAAAAACTTCTTTATTTTGTAGCGCTCATGTTAATCGTTTCATTGTATTAACATTAGTGCTCTACATATTTTCTTTGCAAAGCTATTTCAAAAGAATTATGTTGAATTTTAGCATAGTTTACCGTTAAAAGATATAAAATAAGAGCAAATAAAAGTTATACAAAATCATTTATTAAGAATGTTATGTAAAAAGTTATTGTCATATAATTAAATTCCGTAATAAATTTATTTTCATCTGATATTTTTTTATATCGTCAATGAGGTGTACGAAACGTTAACCATAATCCTGCTGCTAAATCACACATATTTAAGAGTCAAATTTTTCTAGTTGTCTAGTAAGAAAAAAGTATATTTATGACAAAATAAATCAGCATAACAATAGTTACTTTCTAAACAATAAAATAAATAAAATACGTTACTTTCATATTCATTTTGTTTCATGTCATATTTTTGTTCCAGAATGTATCGTTCCGATTTGATTTCTGTTTGATTAAAACAGTTTTAAAGTGGATAAGATTAAAATGGATATAATATTTCGTAGACCCTTGTTAACTGGATAGGAGTTGATAGATCTGAAGTTCCCCCAATTTATATATTAATTATAATAAAATCCTAGAAAGAAAAATATACCAAGATAAAGAGGATTCATTTTAGAGCCAAATTAATTATGCACTTAATCTTCACTATTTTTTTTTAATTTCTTGAGCCGACTACGGCAGCGAACTGCCGCAAACCCAAGCCGATTTTTTAAAAATTTGCTCCCAGTGAAAATATGCCTCCAGTTCTGCTTTCAGTTGCAAGAATGTTGTTGATTACCTCATTAAGAACAACCTCTTTAGCGACAAAAAGTACGGGTTTCGATCGGCCCAGTCCTAATGCGAATGTCCTAACTGAATCAGTGAGGCACTAGACAACAAACACATCTCAAGGTTGATCGCATTAGATATTTCAAAGGCTTTTGACAAGGTGTGGCATAAAGGATTACTGCACTAGTTTTCTAGCTATGGAGTTACTGGAAGGAAAGCATCTTCTCAATCATAAAATCCTTCCTATCGGGTAGGTCCCTGAAAGTAGTTGTTAACGATCAGTTCTAACCACTTTCGCCCCAGCCCCTCAACCTCTGACGTCTTACTCCCTGGATTGAGGTGCCTACTCGGTCTTAACCGAATTTAGGGGAGTGACCATAGGTCCCCTGAGCATCCGTAGATCATTCGACCGGTCCGCTGGTTTAATCCTGCTTACTGCCCATGTTGTGTTTGGTTTGATCCAGATAGCAGAAGTGATGTTCATCCATTCACGGTCGACTGGAGATGTAGACATGAGAGTCTATGCTAGAATTTCACGTACAAATATATAAATATATATATATATATTGTATATAAACGAACTTGTAGCAAATATAGATATAATATATATATATTGTTACGGGTATAATGAAAAGGAAAACGTGGGATCTTTTTTCTCGGTCTTCACTCAGAAATGGAAGCGACACAAGGGAATCACAAAGAACAGACACAAGACGATAAATTTCAAAATAAAACATTTATTTATAAATATATAGACCTATAAAGAAAGAAAAAAAAGAACATTCATTTAACAAAGGGGAAGGGGATCATTAAAGAACAGAAGGCGCGAGCGAATACATACATATATATAAAAAAGATCAAGCCAAGAGAATCAACTTATCTGTCAGTCGAGTCGATATTTTCACACAAAATTCTGATTCGCTGAAGCGAGAGTTCTTATGCTAAAACAATATTTTGGCCGGCCGGCGATTTTCCTGGATTCCTTTTCTTTCGCAAGTGTTCGGGGGTTCACAGCATTTCGTACAGGCGTTTCGTTGGGTTGATTCAGTTTCATAGCAGTCCTTTCATCCCTAGTCGACAGACTTTGCTGTCTTCTTCATCTAAGTGGGCAGTCTATTTGGAATCGGGACGATTTTGCCCAGCGATGTTCAACTGCCGCTGGTCAGAGGGAAACTGAAAATCCTTTTTTAGGTTTTCGCTGTCTCCAAAGACAGTCACGTGGGTTCTCTTTGTCCTTGACCGGGTTCTCTTTGTCCTTGACCGGGTACGCAGGAGGATGGGGCGCAAATCACGCAGTGTTTGTGTGATGGCCAAAATTTCAATGCACGCTTAGTATGTTCTGATCACGTGAATCCTGATGGTGCCTGGAATTCACCTATGGTCAAACGCCTGATAGCTGCGAAATTTTGGAACCAGGTCATTCTCGCATCGGGTTACTTCAAAGTTCACGAGCCCTTGGCTTGTGGGTGGAATAGGTAAAGAGGAAAAGAATTTGTGAAAAGAAGAGGAGGGTATGGCTGATCATGGAACATATTCGCTCGCAAGTTGAAAGCATTTGATTTTATCTATTTTTATTTATTTATTTTTCTTTTATATCTAACTAATTTCCGACTAGAAATTGAGATTTTACTTTAGAGTGCTTTTTAGCCTTACGCCTATATGGTTAATGAAATCGTAGCTACGTCACAATATATATATATATATATATATATATATATATATATATATATATATCTGCAGTAAGCCGAACAAACAACTATTCAATGGTTGAATTGTTAATATCTTTTATATAGCAGAAAAGAATAGTATAGAAAAGAAACGGGTTACAGAAAAGAAAATAATTGACGTAAAAACTCGTACACTGGATTCTAAACAGAGAGAGAGAGAAGGTTGTGATTAGCTTGTTGTGTAATCGTCTCAGAACGACATGCGTCTCTTGATTATTGTAGCTTGTTCGACGTTTCCGTTTCCAGTGGTAGTAATAATAGTAGCAGTAGTAGTAATCCTCGTGGTAGCAATAATAGTAGCAGTAGCAGTAATCTCCGTGGTAGCAATAATAGTAGCAGTAGTAGTCTTAGACGTTGAAAGAGTAATTCACTTCTTCGTACTTATATCAACAAAATATGTTAGCGGGCGTTTGGTTCCAATTATCTGACGTCATTCCCAATCTCCGACCTCTCTCTCCAGCTCGACTGCACTCGACGGCAGACCAGCCAACCACTTTCTGCTTCTTTCGTCTGGCCTCTTCCGTCGGCCTTTCTCTTCGGCTTTTCGCGTCGGGCCTCTTCCGTCCGGCTCTTTTGTCCCTCCTGTAGCACCGTGACCCGTAATGGTCGCCTGCGGGTGCCCACGGCACGCAGCGACAACGATGTGCCGACCGATTGCAGTCTCTCCCGTCTATTTCTTCCGTCTGGCTTGTAGCACCGCGACCCGTAACGGTCGCCTGCGGGTGCTCACGTATGTGACGACGATGTGCCGACCGATCGCGGTCTCTCCTGTCTCTCTCTTCCGTCTGGCTCTTCTTCAGCATAATTACGCGTTTATATAGATAAATCTGGCTATTCATAAATCGACCCTTGGTCAGCACTCGATTATCATGAGTGCCGCTTTCAACTCAAAACCATGTGAGTTTCAAAGTTCTCATAGCCTTAGTAAGCCCTATTTCAAATTTTAACCGCTAAAAACTATTTCGATCATTTTCCATTGCTTTTTTCTAATGACCCAATTCCAAATGGGCGAGATCAGGTTTCCTTCAGTAAACAAAATTGTTCTGATCTAATTTCGCTACCTTGATTCGCTCCAATTTCAATAAAAAAAATATGTGTGTGTTTCCCAAACTCTCTTTTCTGTCACATTTCCTCCCCTACTCATCTGTCATTTACTAGTAAATGACACACGCGCTTTCCTATCAACAAAATATGAGAAAACCCAGTCCAACATGCTTCTGACTAGGGTCTACTTAAACATACGTCTCTTCCAGCATGCAAAAGTAAAGTCCTCAGTTCTTCTTAGGGCTCATTATGCCCACTTACATTTTCATTGTCCTTACGATACATATGTACATGCAACTTCCGGTTAAAGTTCACTGTTGTGGTGATCTCGTGCAATAGAACCTTTTCACATAGTTCACTAGTTCGAATGTTCTTTCCATTTTTTTTTTTCAATTATTGGAGTTCGCAACACTCCTTACCAATTATTTCAGTCTCATTACGAGAAAAAAATTTTTTTTTTAAATTTCGATTTATTTCGTAAATCGGCCCCTCTGATTTTGTCTCGCCGTCACAGCAGGCTTTGTCGAATCTTTTGTTGGTTCAGGTCCTTTCACGACAATCGTGGACTCTTCTTCAATATCAGTTAGAGGTCCCAATGCACTCGGGCCGGACCTACCTTGGTAAAGTGCACTAACTGGAATCCCTCCTTCACTCATGCACTCCCGTGCCAGTTTATTCCGCCTGGTCGACAACACCGCACGCCTCTTCAACCACCACCAAACTAGCAAGGCCACGACTATCATTAGTATAATTCCCACAACAGACAGTCAGCAACCAAATTCTCTTTCCAGCCCGAATTCGGCGTACCTATCTTATCTAACTCCGACTTCAACCGTCCAAGATCAATCTTATCGATTAGCCTTAACAACGCCGGCATCTTTTCTAGCGACATCTTAGGAATCTCCCTTACAATCGGTTCCCACAATTTCGTCCATCCACTGGCATTCGTTCCTACCAGCTCTAACCTCATTCTCTTCAAACTTCTCTTAATCGTTCCGGAGTTATTATACTCGGAGACAGGTGTCCCAGCGACAGCATATCTAATTGTGCTCTCACATCCACCGTTAAAAAGTGACTTGTTTGTCGTAACTTACTCATTATAGCTAATAATTGAAAATACCTTTGCAAAAACCCCTCTGATTTCTGTAATTTGGTTGCTACAGACGTGGTTACATTTATCACTTCTTTTCTAAAAACCTGTAGGTGAGAAATCAACTCCCTCTATTCTTAGCCAATTCCAGCCTAGTAATATTGAGTAGAGATACGCTCTCTCTAACCGACTGAGCCATTGCTTGTTGTCTCTGTTCTACCGGCTCTAATTTCCTCTTAATTACTCTCACTTCGCCTTCTGAGACTGTACCAAACAACACGCTTAATGCCTTTCCCACCAAAGTAATACTGCCCTCTTTTGCCTGATCCGTAACAACTTTATTCCTTTCAAATAGTAACTCATATTCTTCCATTGTCTCTCAAGTATTAGAGATTCCAGAGCAAAGGGGTATAATATACGGTGGTATTTCGGAGTGTAAATAGTCTTCGGCGACTTGTGTCCTGGCTGTATCTAGTTTGTCCACTTCGATCTTCAACTGACCCAATAACGGCTGCAGGTCTATCACCTAAGTTATCAACCACTTTGATGTCGTTATAATCATTTCGCTAGTCTTCTTAAATACAGTATTCTCACTTTGTTCCCAGGTATTAGCTACCACAACTAGCATCGTCAGTACCACAAGCCTCCTCTTGTCCATGTCTGCAAAGAGATGGAGAGAATAATTCTGGCAGTTACATCTTAGAGCGATACCTCAAGCACCGACCCACACCACCACCAGCGCCGTGCATGCATGGGGGCCGTCCACACAGTTCACCAGCACTGATGATAAATGCACAGTTAGTCCCCTACCGTCACTCATTCACCACAGCCACTGTACTGGTTTCACTTAATCCTTGGCTGCACCGCTCCCTTCAATCACCGTTTTACTGGTAATTCCTCAACACTAGGTGCTTTTTCAGCCCGCAATTTGCTCTGCAATTGAGCTAACGGAATTTCATCCTCTTCTTCCCATTCACTCAGTTCTTCTTCTTCCCTAAGGTTAGGCTCAATCCCTGCTTCCTCAGAATGTCCCGCCGGGGTCCGACTTACCTCCCTCAGCCTTCGAAGGGTAGTTGCGCTAATTTCAATCTCCTCACTCCCTTCACTTTCACTCTCAGTTTCTAACCCTTCAGGTTCTACCAACGTAGTTTTCCTCAGCCTTTTCTGTTGAGTTTTTGTTTCGGTTCCTTTTCATTCTCCTATTTCAGCTACCTTTTATCATTCGCATGCACTATCTTTACCTGTCCGGTCAATTGGTCCCAGATCACAAAGGAAACCGGACCCGTCTGCTCCACGGTCCTATAGTATGGACTCCATCTCTGGTCCAATTTACCTTCTCTCATGTGTATTTTATAATACACTGGATCAGCTATCTGGAAGGAAACTTCTCTATTTTTATTTACCCTATCGTTTTGCCTTTTCTGGGCTCTTTGAACCCTCCTCACCTGCGTAAAATTTTATGCTGTTGTTCTAAAACTATTTGGTGATGATCCTCTCCTAAATACTTCCTCCTAGGTCGTAACAGATTGTCTAGAGGTAAGACTACACCCCTGCTATATATCAAGCAATAAGGGAACAATTTTGTCGTCTCGTTCATTGAGCTGCTAACGCTTGGGTCACGAATAAATCCCAATTTTCCCTATTATCCTCTGTTAGTTTAGCTAACACATCAGTGAGTGTCTTATGAAATCTCTCTACCTTAGCGTTACTTTGGGGGTGATATGGAGAGGTGGTTATGTGCTGTATGTTTAATTCTCCCAACGTCTCTCTCATAATCCGATTCACATTCTCCGATCCATTATCGGTAACCAGCTGTTCGAGGGCCCCATACCTAGGGAATATTTCGTTCAGTATTATATCTGACACCGTTCGTGCCTTCTTATCCGGTATGGCAAATGACTCAGGCCAATTCGTCAGCCAGTCCACAAAACTCACTATGTAAAGATTACCTCGATGTGTTTCTCCATAGGGCCCGGAAATATCCATGCTTACTTTCTGAAATGGATAATTCGGAACATCCGTTTCTAATACTGGGGCAACCATACTTCTTGGTCTAGAATTTCAGCTCTCAACTTCTCAGGTATCACCATTTTTAAACTGACTTCCTCATCTCTTCCAGAAAGTTAATGCAACACTCCATCATGCACCATATATTTCGAGGTACGCCTTGCCTCTACCCTGGACCTGATAGTTGCTATCTCGCTATCCTCTTGGCCTTGCCTAATAATAATCTCTCTCCAGTGGGGGTCGGAAACAACCTCCGTTTCACTCGTTTCCTTATCTTCCCAACCAAGTCTCTCCTTCAACGCCTGTGAATTGATTACATTAATTTGGAATGCTTTATCATCTACACCCGGCTCCAACCTGACAGATTCGGTCTCTAATTGCCTCGGAATCCTCAATAACAGGTCAGCACAGGTATTATTCTTCCCTGCCAAATATTCTATTCTGCAGTTATACCCACTTAACTTCAATGCCCACTGTTGTATCTTCTTATTCGTCCACTCCGCCTCTAACAAATATTTGAGGGGTTGGTGGTCTGTTTTAATGGTAAATACAGCCCCACTCAAATAATAATCTAATTTCTGCACAGTATACAGAATGGCGAACGGTCTTTTTCTATCACTATTACACCTTTGCTGAGTCTCGGAGAGCCGATGAAACAGAAAATAGATCGGCACTTCCTCGGGTACACCCGGTACTGGTCCATTCTTATTGGGACATGGTTGTGTAAGAACCGCCCCGGTACACTTATCGCTAGCTTCGGTGTACATCACCATGGGCTTACTCAGGTCTGGGTAGGCCAACAGGGGTACAGTTGTCAGCTGGTCCTTTAGAGCCTCGAATGCACGGTGACAATCCTCGGTCCACTTAAACCTAGCATGCTTCTTATTTAGAGCTATTAGAGGGCCTGCTAGCCGACTAAATGCTAGTATGAACCTCCGGTAATATCCGATGGCTCCAATAAATCCCTTAATCTCTCTTATGGTCATTGGTGCGGGCATGGCTCTTATAACCTCAACTTTGTCTAAATCCGTTTTTATTCCTTCTTTGTTTATGATAAACCCTAAATACTTTGTCTCTTCTTTCATAAACTTACAGTTCGATAATTTTAACTTCAATCTAATGTTCCCTTAACCTATTGAACACCTTCTGCAGATGTTCAAAATGCTCCTCCGGTGATTTTGAAAACACCATATCATCTAGATACGCCATGGCAAATGCCTCAGTGCCATTCAATACGATGGACATTAACTGACTGAATACACTCGGGGCGTTTGCCAGCCCAAACGGCATAACCCTAAAATTGAAGAGGCCCATGTAGAAGGTAAAAGCGGTCTTTTCCTGATCCTTTTTGCTAAGTGCTACCTGCCAATATCCCGACCTCAAATCCAAGGTGGAGAAACATTTAGACTTTCCTAAAAGAGCTAGAATATCATCAGTTATGGGGAGGGGCACTGCCAGCGGTTTCGTAATGGCATTTAATTGATGAAAATCCACACAAAACCTATACCCTCCATCTTTTTTTTCAACAATTACTATTGGAAAACTCCTGGGAGATTAGGATCTTTCGATCATCCCTGATTCCATCATTTCTTTCACTGCGTCCTCTACCAATTTCCTTTTGCGGATTGGGGTCCTATACGGTCTTAACTTAATAGGTGGGTGATTACCCGTGTCTATCTTCATTTCAACTGTCTCCGTCTGTCCCAGTTCCTTATCAGTAATTTAAAATTAAAAGTATATTTGCGCTTTATTTCCTAGAAAATGTGATCTTGTTTGAACAAGAACCTAATATTTATAAATTAGGTACCGCCAAAATTTCGCTAAAAAAGTCGATACATAATAAAAAAAAAATAAAAAAACAAAATTTTATCGTCAAAATCTTTGTATTATTAAAGAGAGATCAAAGCATTTTTTAAAATTTAAAAACTATTTTTTTGTTTCTTTTTTAGAACCTTGGAAATTTTGGCTGAAAATCTTGTTTCTTTTTTTAAGTCAACGAGAGTTTTTTTTCTTTTCGTGTTGAAAAAAAGTTCATTTGGAAATTCTTGGTAAAATGAAAAAATTGTCGGATTCTAATGAGACGTTCAGGAATTATTCTAAAATGAATGAGATTATTTTTGAAACGTTCCATTTTTAGAATATCTTCATAAAAAAATCTGTTTACATCTGTTACCCCAATTCAATTAATTTTTAAGAAATTTCGAGAAATTCTATTTCGTGTCACTTGATGTTTCTATTTGTTATAAGGATAAAATACATTTAATTAGAAAATCTTTTCTTTCTTTTCTTTATGTGCTTTTAGGACATAGGGAGGTGGAGAGCCATGAAATGCTTTCCACCTCCCTCTGTCCCTTAAGTTCTCTATTGAGAAGTTGGTTGAATATAAATTGGCCTGAGAAAATCTTTTAATTGCTTTTATGGATAAAATATATTAGGAAAACGATTTTAAGAAAATAACATTTTTGATGAATAATGGATTTTTACAAGGATAGTTTTCATTTTTAAATTTTAATTAGAATTATTTATAAACTTTTAAATTTTTAAAAATTCTGTATTAATTTGTAGCGACTAAGTGATATTGTTATTAAATAAAAACTATATTTACTAATCATAAATGGAAAATCTCACTTCAATTCAATTTTTTGTGTGTATAAACGTGTCGTTTTTTGTAGTAAATACGGTCGACCATACACAACATTATTAGAAAATAATAAATGTTCTCCTTGATATTTGAGTGTTTAAATTTTAGTTTAAATTTTTCGTTTGAATTGTTCATCATTTAGATTACAATTAATCTAAATATTTAATAGCCATCGTGTTTTTTTTCTTTCCTTCTTTACCCTACTTCTATCGAGTTGGCCAACTGGCCATTTACTTATGACTCTAGGGACAGGCTTCTACTACTTATTACCTACACCCCCCCTTAATATACTAGAATGTCAGTTAAACATCGCGTGGTCAAAAAGTTCTGTGGGCTGTAGATCGACTCTCCAAATAAGTTATCTGAATGTACATTCTTAGAAATAACTGGATGTCTAACCCAGGACTGTTTTGAAAGTTCTTTCAGAGGTAGGTCTCAGCCAGTTTTAATTACTTGTTGAATTTCTAATGGATATCTCGACTTCAACTAAGTTAAAACTTAGTATTTTTTTTAATAGGAGTAGATAGGCTTTCTAATTGCCAGGTTCATACTCTTTCTCTTGAACAGCAATAGAGGCTCATCTCTTGTTTCCTGTTTAGGAAGGGGTTCTCGGTTCCATCCCTTTTCTCAGGCCTTAATAATGATGCTGTCATGATTCTTTGTGATATGTATGAATGGTGGCTACGTCTCTTCATACTGAGGGTACCGGGTTGGCAGTTTTCTGGTTGCTGCTTCTGACTGGAAGTTAGGAGCCCGAACTCTTGTGTAGCGTCTAGAGAGGCTGCTCTGATCAATAGTCGCATAATATCGGGTTCTTGTAGTGCCATGTCACACCTGGAAGGGTGTCCCTGCAAGCGCCTCCGGTGGGCAATCTTGCACATTGACAAATCTACCATTCGTTCGTGCATTGAATAACGTTGCCATATCTGGTCTGGTGCTCCTGATATTCATCTCGAGGTTCTTGACAAAATCCAAAGAAGAAATTGCAATGTAATCGATCCTGACTTGACATCTCAACTTCAGTTACTTTCTCACGGACGTGATGTGACTTTCCTCTATCCTTTTTTACAAATATTTTCATGGCAACTACTCTGACGAGCTTTTTTCCTTGGTGCCCAGACTACTAGATTGGCATCTAGGTCACACCCTTTTACTGTTGAAATAGTTAAATATAACCGCCACATCCACTTCAACAGTTTCTTTTCTCGCACTTCCGGCCTGTGGAAACCCTTCCGTTTATTTGCTTCCTTGATAACTAGAATCTTCATAAATTTAAATTCAACGTCAATCGCCATCTTCTATCTTCTTGAATCCCATTCATCTTTTATCCTTTCCTCAATCCTCACCCCTTTTACAATCTTGTCTCTCACTTTCACTCTCTGCAACCCACTGCATACTATCGGCATTCCAGCCTTGCTTGG